AGCTCGTCGGTCTTGTGCGCATCTCCTCCAATTTGAAAGACCACGTACCAAGGTATTGTTTTCTACTTGGTCTTTCCATCTTATTTGTGACCTTCCCCTTCTACGGGAATCAGTAGGCTCGCTTTTATATGCCTTTTGAGCTGGGGCATTCTCATTCATTCGCTCAACATGGCCTAGCCATCGTTGTCGCTGCAGCTCAATATGACTGACCATGTCGATGTCCGCGAATAAATTGTAAAGCTCGTAGTTCATTCGACGTCGACGCAGATCGACCCGTAGATCTTTCGGAGTATTTTTCTTTCAAACACCCCAAAAGCTGCCTCATCTGCTTGCGCAAGTACCCATGCTTAAGATCCATATAACAGCATGGGTAGTATCAGCGTCTTGTAAAGTGTGAGTTTGGGAGGTGACCATGTTTCTAAACTGCTTGCATAGACCATAGTAGGATCTGTTGACCATCACAATCCTTCTCCGAATTTCAAAACTGATATCATTCGTTTTATTTATGGTGGTACCAAGGTATATAAAATCTTTAACTACCTCGAAGCTGTAGTTCTCAAGTTCCACAGTTGGTCCGAGTATACTGGACTTCTTGCGCTTTGGTACCATCAGCTTGGTCTTCTCGCCATTAACTGCCAGCACCTTTAGCAGCCTCCTTCTCAATTTGTTAACGCTCGCAATGTTCGACCCATTATATCGATGTCATCGGCGTAGGCGAGTAACATGCGTTGTTTGTTGTACAGAGTGCCATTTCTGTTCACCTTTGAATATCGTATGACCTTTTCCAGCAGGATGTTAGAAAGATCACACGACAAACTGTCACCTTGTCCGAATGTTCATTCAGTATTAGAGGGCTCCGATAGGTCCTTTCCGAATTTAACTGCTGGCTGCTGGTTATCCTGCATAGCCGTATTAATTTTGCAGGAATGCCGAACGTAGACATGGCTTTAAACACCTCTGAACGAATGGGCTGTCGAATGCGCCTTTATAGTCGACGAATAGATGGTATGTGTCGATGTGTTTTTCGTAGGTCTTTTCAGGATTTGGTGGATTTGTCAGGTCTGAAGCCGCATTGGTATGGTCCACTAAAGTCATTGACCATTGGCTTCAGTCGTTCACACAACACACTGGATAGGACTTTATATGCGATGGGAAGGAGACTTAATCCTCTATAGTTGGCACATATCGACTTGTTTCCTTTTTTGTGCACAGGACACAGGATGCTGAGGTTCCAATCATTGGGCATGCATTCCTCTAGCAAATTGTACTAAGAAGCTGGTGCATGCTCCTGAGCAGCATCTGACCACCAGTCTTGAATAGTTCGGCTGGTAACCCGTCGGCTCCTGCTGCTTTATTGTTCTTGAGCCGATTAATTGCTTTTATAACCTCATCTTGGCTAGGTGGTATACACTCTATACCATAATCTCTTATTGGTTCTGGGGTATCTTCTTCACCGCCACTATTTAATACCAGAAGCTTTTCAAAATGCTCCTTCCAGATACTCAACATGCTGTCTGTATATGTCACCAAGTTCCCTTCGTCACCTCTACAGGAGGATGTACCTGCACCAAAATCTTCGGTTTGGCGTTTTACTCGGTAAAAATTTGTGTTAATCTTTATTTTCTGTCGGAGCATGGGCGCAAATAAGTAGAAGAACTTTGCTTGCATTTGACCTCATGTCACTTCTAAACCGTTGTTATATTTTACTGGTATACAGCTCAAAGTACCCAGATTTGAAATATATAAAGTCTTTTTCCACCCTATTTGAATAAATTTTTACCAAAAAAAAAATGAATTCATGAAAAGGGAAATGCTTTTACAATGGACAAATCCCTTTAACCGTATAAAATTTTGTGACGTTGGGGCCATAATTGTAGCATCTATTTAATCCGCCAACAATTAACCGATCATATAGAGGTCTTCTTTGGTGAGAGCACTGGTCTCACATGCAAAATTTCGTAAATATTGGTCCATAACTGTGGCCTGTAATATTAACTTTACACAGAATCAGATTTTGGGAGAGTTTATGTCGGAGCATTCTAAAGTGGGCCACACACGTCAAACATGTGCATTCGATCGGTGTGAAGCTTCTAGTCCACACACGTCAAACTTTTAGGCGTTACATTTAAATCACAAGCCATATAAATATCACTCAAGTATCGTTTTGCATGATGCGCCTGAAAGTATGCTCAGAATTTGTAAACATACCGTCAAATCTAAGAAAAAATCGAACAATGTGGCAATGATGCTGCTGTTTTGTTTTTTCTTCGCTTTCGTGAAAATACCAATTTCAACCATTTTTCCAATTTGAGGTACCAGGCCAACAGCATCGTGTAGCCGCTATATTTTGACTGAAGATCAACTTTAAATGGCTATAACTCAGTAACGAATGAACGTACTGACATAAAATTGGTAGCAATAGTTAGGGGAGATTGTGTAGTTGTTATGGGTATCGATAAACAAGTATTTTCACAACGGACAACTATGAAAATCACGATCATTTGCAAAAACGTTAAATTATCTTTGAATGGCTGGAAATTGGTGCATTTGAGAAAATTTTGATATTAGATTGTCGTTGAATATTTATTGTAATTGGAAAATAACTCATTTTGAGGAAAAATAAGGACTATTAAGGAAATGTGTAGGAAATAAAGTAAACATGTTGTGGTGCAATTTTAGCAATAGGAAATAATTTGAATTGATAAAATGTTATTCCCATTGGCAGATATTTATTAATATATGGGGTATATGTTTTTTCGAGTAGTCCCTATATAAATAAGTGTCCCGAATGATTTTAGATATTTTGAAGGCTCTAGCCGTGTATTCCAACCAAAGTGGCTGCGTTTTGATATTTCACATTAGGTAAAAATGAAAAAAATTTTCTTGGGATATGGGACAATGTGTTTTTTGCACGAACTGGTGGTTTGTGCAAAATTTCGTTTTAATCGGACAAACATTAGGAGTTTTGTGCACCATTTACCTAAAATCGGGCTAATATATATCGGACCTATGTATAAAACTGAACCGATATTCTCGAAACTTAACACACATCATTCTAGACTCACTTCAGTACTCTATGCCAATTTTGGTGGAAATCGAAAGATATATAGGGACTTTGGTGCACCATTTACCTCAAATCGGACGAAAATATATATGGGAACTATATCTACATCTAAACGGATTTTAATGAAACTTAGCGCACACCATTTCGTGCAAATCGAAAGATATATAGGGTCTTTGGTACACCATTTACATTAAAAGGGCGAAAATATATATAGGAGCTATATCTAAATCTGAACCGATTTTCATGAAACTTAACACACATCATTCTAGGTTTAATTCAGTACACTGTGCCAAATTTCGTGTAAATCGAATTATATATAGGGACTTTGGTGCACCATTTACATAAAATAGGACGAATATATATTTATATATATAGGATATTTATGGGAGCTAATCTAAATCGAAACCGATTTTCATAAAACTTAACACACATCATTTTAGACTTATTTCAGTACCCTATGCCAAATTTTGTGCAAATCGAAAGATATATGTAGGGACTTTGGTGCACCATTTCAGACGAAAATATATATGGGAGCTATATCTAAATTTAAACCGATTTTCAGGAAACTTAGCGCACATCATTCTGAACCTAATTCAGTACTCAATGCCAAATTTCGTGCAAATCGAAAGATATATAGGACCTTTGGTGCACTATTTACCTTAAATCGAACGAAAATATATATAGGGAGCTATATCCAAATCTGAACCGATTTTTCCCAAGTTCAATACGGTTCGTCCTTGGACCAAATAAATGAGCTGTGCCAAATTTCATCCAAATTGGATCATAATGCGCATGTACTTTGTTTACAATTTAACATCTACAGACGGACAGAATGCCTAAATCGACTTAGAAAGTGATTCTATGGATATTCTCAAAAGGAACCATGTGTCTATCTCGTTTCCTTTTGCCTGTCACAAACATATGCACAAAGACAATGTACCACAGTGTGGTGAAGGGTATAAAAAAATCCCTTAATACATTTTCCCCTCATGATAATTAGGTGACCGGCACTGTGCTTCCTCACATTTCCTGAATGTCTCATGGCATTATGACGTCCAAACATCGTAAACGTAATATGTAATTGGCGTACACAGCAACCATACGCTCCGTTTTCTTTTTGTCTCCATGGAATATCATCCATAAACAACTGATATTTAATTTTACGTTTTAAATTAAAATAAGTCTGCAAATGTAATTCAGTTAAATTTTAGTAACAATAAATTATTTGATATATATTTTTTTTAATCAATGAAGTGGAATGTTGTTTGCATATTGCAAAGCTTATGATATACATACATATACACATTGAATAGTATAAAAAGTTTATATTATATTAAATAATATATAAAATAAAATATATATATTTAACAAAATGTTTGAGTAATTATAAAAATATACATTACCTTTATTAATAAATTAAAGAAACTTCACATACATTATGGATGTTTGATTTTTCAAATGTTATTGGCATTTAAAGCAGCATTTCGTCCTTTTCCTCCACACATTTTGCAAAAAAGGTCCATTAGTTCTGCTTCCATGATTACCTATACGTTTGCCCATTACATAACCCCCTTCCAAATCAATTAAAAATACAAATTGTTTATTTTTTTGGTTTATAAAAAATCGTTTTTTTTTCTTCTTTTTTATTATTTTTATCTGTGCCTTTTTCGTTTTCATAACAAAAATACAAGGGTTTTATTTTATTCATCTTCATCTTTCATTTGTTTTAGGGGTTTCTTCTTGTGGTTTTTTAATTTATTTTTTATTTGTTTTCTTTCTTTTCTTCTAGAGAATAGTAGTGTATAAAGAAATGTGTTTCTGTTTTGTTTTTGTTGTTATTATTATTTTTTATAGCATCTAAAATAATAATTATGTAATAATAATAATAGTAATATAGGTAGTAGTAGTTGTAATAATAATAAATATACATATACATTTATGATTGCTTACTTGAACCAACAATACTTGATGATGCTGATGAAATGGTGGATGAGGAGGAGGGGGCGGCGTTTTTTGAGGTGATTATAATGGTTGTTGTGGTGGTGGTGGTGGAGTTGTTGGGTGGGGGATGAGTTATGTTATTGGTATTTGCATTGGTGTTTGTGGTGGTCGAGGTGTTGGTGTTGGCGGCAATCATGGAATATTTACCAGCATGATTGCCGCCATCACAACTATCCAAGGCCGTTGACGTTGCCGCCATCGAATACGGGGCCTTCGAAGTTATCGATGATGATGTTGTGGAGCAGGATGAAAACGAGGCTGTTGATGCTGTGGTGGTACTATTGCAAGCTTGTTGCATTAACACCGCTTCCGATTTGGAAGATTGCAAACGTTTCTCACAGTACAGGGTGCCAATTGGCTGGGCCAATGATGCGGCCAAGCTTTTGGTTATGAAATATCTTTGATTGTTTGTGTTGGAAGTGGAGGTGGAGGATGATGCGATGCTGGTGTTGGCGACAGAGGTAGGGGGATGGTTTGAACTTGGTGTTGTGGCAGTGGTGGTAGTGTTGTTATTTTGGAACTGTAAACTTGCAGGATAATTTTGGCTAGTGGGTGATGTTACCGTCGTCGACGGCGTCATACCCGCCGTATAGGAAAATCTTGAAACTGGCAAACGATAATTCGTTGAAGTGTCGGAGCCCAACGAATGCTGCCGTAGCAATGAAGAAGTACCACCGTTAGTGGTGGTGTTGAATTTCGTCGGTGATGTCAGTGATGTGGGGGAGGTGGCATTGGTGACAGTTGTGGGTGTGGCATTCGTTTTCTCATTAGCCATCAATTTGAAAGTATTGCTGATGTTGCCGCTGCCACTTTGCTGTTTAGTTCTATCGGTTATGGGAAACTTATTTTTTGTACAGCTCAAATCCAATTCCAGCGTATAAAAACGTCCTCTACGATATTTGGTATTTTCATTTTCTATGGGTTTTGTGGTCAGGGGCGGTGATGTCAGGGGTGTTGAGGAGTTCAGACGACTGCTATTCATCGGCTGATGGGAAATGGTACAAATACTACTGCGATTACTGGTAGAGGTTTGATCACTACAATTACTACTACTAATGGGTGTGCTAGCACTACCGCCGCCGCCTCCTCCTCCGGCACTGCTATTCGCACCACCACTGGCGGCGCTTAACTGCAAAGAGTTTTGTGTGGCAGCATTCTGGTTAGATCCACCACCACCACCCATTGCTTGCATTGAATTGGAAGAGGCGGGATTTACACTGTATATGGTTGATGATGATGTGACCGAAGAGCGTGGTACACCATCGATTTCATCACAATTTTGTTGTTGCCTATAACGACTACGACGATAGCTGATATCATCCTCCTCGCCCCTCTCATCATCGTCATCATCATGATCATCGTCGTCGTCATCATCATCATCATCGTCAGATGTTATTCTAAGTTCGGTATTGTATTCGCTTAGGTTGGTGGTGGGATGAGGTGGCGGTGCTGCAGGTGGCGGAGCTTTGGTAAAATTTTTACAATTCTGTTTTAAATTCGATGATTTTGTTGTTGATGTTGTGGCCGTCGACGACGACGTTGTTGTTATCACCGGTGCATTTTTCATTCGTGGAGATGGATCCAATACCAGATTTTCACAACTGGCCTCATAGACACTAGCCAAGGGTTGAGACTTTAAATGCGGTTTCAACGAGCTGGAGCTATTATTCGCCGCCGTTCCATTATCGTTTTTTGTATCACCAGCTTCTATGCCACCACGTCCTCCACTAGTCCTATCCTTGCGCATAATGACTTTATCACCTCCTGCCACCATCAACCTCTCTTTGGCTCCTCCGTCGACTTTCTTAAACGAGTCTTTATCCTTTTTACTCAAGATATCCAATGGCTCATTGTAGAACGAATCAAAATCTAAATCCAAAAACAATTCCTGCAAAAATCGTCGAGCATTCATGCGATACGAACAACGACCCAATGTTCGACAAACCTCGGAATAAAGGCATATATCTTGAAATGAGGCTGGATGTTTTTGTTTCAATTCGAGCAGTGCCATTTTCGATTGTTTGGCACTGACGGGATTGGCCAAACGTTGAACATTATATAGAATATTGGCGGTCAAACGATCCGGCAAACTATCCTCACTCAATATACTTTCCGGAGAATGGAATTCGGAAAATTGTATTGATGAGGCATTGCTGTACTGTTGTTGTTGCAAGGGAGGTTTATTTGCTGTAGCACCAGTCGCCGTTTTATTATCGGTATTCGTAGTGGAAGTATTTGTCGTCCCTCCACCTTTGCGTGACAATGCCACAGTGGCCTGTATGCCCGCTGCAACCAGTGCCGCTGAGGCATTTGTATACATTTCACATAATGTCGAAGTGGAAACATCTCCAGAGCCACTACCATCTAACCGTTGAGAACGTTTCCTTTGCCTTGAGCAGTACAGGCAATTACTGCGTCCATGTTTACCGCCCACCCATTTGGATCGTTTGCTCACCGATGATACATCGGAAAGTGATGAAATTACTGATGATTCATCACCACCTTCATTATTTAGGGAATCATTTAGGAATTGCTGCTTAGCTGTCAACAAATTAATATCCATTAAATCCTGATCTTGAATATCTTGTGAAACATAAGTTCTCAGCTGGTTGCGGGTTGGGAATATATCCAAAAGATTTTTTGGTAATGAAATGCCTGAAAGGAGAGAAAAATTAATTAAATTAGTATTATAGATTAATTGTTGGGGTGTAGGACAAAAAAATTGGGTTGTTGAAATTTTCAAATTATCTAAAAATAGAAATTTTTTAAAGGTGGCCCAAATTAAAACGATTACAGTTCCACAAAGAATATGCTTATGCAAACTGGATGGAACCGGAATCGAGTATTTAACAGCATCCCTCAACATGTCAGTAGCCACCTACATAGGTCCTGAAGACTGGAAAGTAAGCAGGGTGGTCCTGCTATTAAAGCCTGGCAATGATGCCAGTAAAGGTAAATTCGTAGTGAGTCATGTTGTCGACGTCATCATATACGCCGTATGGAAAATGTTGAAACTGGCAAACGATAATTGGTTGAAGTGTTGGAACCCAACCAATGTTGCCGGAGCAATGAAGAAGTAAGTTTTTTTTATCTGAGGAATATACAATTTTCCGCCATCAAACCAACAGTCACATTGTCCACCACTAGGGTGGCTGAAATTAAGCTACCACTGAACATAATGGTCGATGAAGAACATGTACCGACCACCAAATACCCCAAAATAGTGGGTATAATGTTAGACAAACTCTTTAGGATGATTACACAAAGCACTGCTATTTACGATAAGATGAGAAATAGACCAACAGCGACCACTTAAATGAGGAGGCCATTTTTTTCGTTATCATCTGCGAACCATAAATGCCAAATTTTGTCCTATGAAAGGACAATCTTGAAGCAATAGGCCAGTGGAAATCAATGTATGAGAACATCGGCAGGGTGTCTCCTCATTATATCAGGCTATGGACCAATACATGAGGTGGCGAAGGAGGGTGCCATCGCTGGAATAAACCATACCATCACCTCATTCTTAGGATGGATTTCCTCACACATACACATAAGGAGTGATATACATCATCTATATACATAAGTCCAACGGTACAAAACCCCTAGATCAACAGGCCTGTCGAGCAGCAATGAATATTACCATAGTACCATGTGAATGCAGTTCTTGGAATCCACCAACCACCCATAGCAGCAGAAGCATTCCTAGTCCAATTAAGATAAGGATGGTGCAACCGTCTGAAATCGTTTTGGACACATTGACAGCACGATAACATTCACATACCCTCCGTGAGGACTAGGATCTCTCGATACGCTGAAAAGTCTATGACTTTTAATATACCTACACAATAGGGAGGACTAGGTATATGTGGAGCTATGCAATAACACCGATCTGTATTTAGCCAAAAAGTCGTTAATCCTCTGTTAACCATGAATGACAAATTTATTCTTGCGGAAGGGCAAATCCGCTTTTGTCAACAATATGTCGACACAAACTCCAGTACCTTTGCAATGAAATCCAGTAAAAATATCGGAACAAAGCTTCATGGAACTCTTAGACTACGGAACTTCAACCTTGAGAGGCCTCTACCAAAATGCCTCATAAGGATAACTACAGTATTGGAAGCGTGCCTGACCTTTTAAGCCAAAACATCGTCAAACGACGAAAGCGAATATGATTGAAAAGTTCAAAATACGGCACGTGGACCAATATGTCCCATTTCAATACCAAACATGCTAGACGTTTCACAGCCTGGAAAAAGCAAAGTTCAACTATGTGAATGGTGGAATAATGCAGTCCAAAGAAGAGGTACAGTCTGAAATCAGACATATTTTAATAATATATTTATAGTTAATGGTTAATTAAGCTGTAGGTTGTTCCTGCTGGATTTTAGGAAAATTGTGAAATGGCCGCACTCTCACATTCGATGGCCATAACATGAGAGATGAGAGGCTATGAAAAGAGATGCCAGCAATACCGTCATACATAATATCATTGTTACATAATTGAGAGGCTTTTCTGTTCGGAGCATAGACACATTTAAAGAATTATTAGATTTACACTATACTTCTAAATAATCTAAAAACCCTCTACGGTTTAATTCAATATAGAAGTTATTATATTTTCAACTCTAATTCTTCCAGACGCTCTGCCTTATTTAAATTTACATGGGCAACTTACCGACATAACAAGGACCTTTGGAATCATTTTGTGATAAAAATTTGGGTGCATTTAGCGTTGGCAATGGTACTTGCAGCTCTTCCGAATCCAGATGCCTAAAACAACAAATAAAATTATTTAAAAAAATATATAGTAACCGATTTATTAAAACTAAATCAATAATACTTACGCATACATTCTCAGCGATGTCTGACGATCTAAGCTACGCACTTTATTCTTGCGCGAATCACCAAAGGAAGATTTACGTGGTCGAAATGAGGCGTATGACAACAAATCAATGCGATCAACAATATCATATAACTCAGCACCGGATTCAGATAGAACTGGGCGACAATGGCGTCGCAAGGAACGTAATTGAGCATAACCTTTTATGTCCACTGGACTAATGGCATTATGCAAATAGGAGCCGGCAACCAATGAGGTGCGACGTAACAGAGACGATTGACCCAATGGTATTTCCAGCAGATTTGACATTGAGGGTATAGGACTGAGGGGAAATTGTTGGAGGTCACTAAATTTTGAAACAAAAATACAAATTAATATGCAATAAAATAAGCTATTTTCTGAAAAGAGCAACTTACCCCACTCCCGCTGTTCTTCCCGTAACCGATTCACAACTACTAACACCTGATGTATTGGAATCTGTACACGAATTGTAACGCGTTCGATGTGAATAATACATTCCTGGACCTGCTGTTGGCGGCATAACACCCGGATGTCCTCCTGTTCCTCCGCCACTCAAAAGACTTATAACATCGGTCGTTTTCGATTCGGACAATGAACGTTGATGCCGACCATGCCGTAGACATGAACCTTCTGGCAGTGTTTTCCATTTTACGGATGCCGGTAATACACTACTACTACTGCCACTTGCCGTACTACTACTAGCAATACCACCCGCTGTAGTTGTGGGTGTTGCCACACCACCACCACCTCCCATCTGTCGTGAACAAGAAGAAGATGATGTCTTCTCTAGTTTAGCTCTCGGTGAACTAAATTTATATGGTTGTGTTGTCAGAAGATTATCTACACTAACCTCTTCACCCGATGTCTTAATACTATCGGTGGTGGTATTAGCATCTTGCGCTTCCGAACTGGCACTTGCCGCACCACCAATAGCATCACGATTCGTACTGGTACTACTCAATAATAAATTCGAATAGCTACCCGTATAGTAGGAACCATCGATTTGATCTTCCATACCCGTATAATTATACGGTGGTACATCGTCGAAATGATGTCGCAATGGTGTGTAATTGCCCAACATCCAATCTTCGGGTTGATGTACCGGCCATATGGTATTACGATCGTGTCGTACACATAACCAATCTGAAAGGGAAGGTATATTTGAAAACTGTTCTGACATTTTAAAGGTAAAAAATAACTCACTTAGATTGAAGAGGAGATTCGCCCCATCCTTTGTGCTTCCAATTAGACCCAATACACTGAAGCATGTTGATCGTATCGAGTAAATATCACACTTTGTAGCCAATATAACCAACTTTTCATAGACCCTAAAATACAAAAAAAATAGTAACAATAATAATTAGACCTCGGATTTTGCATATTTGCATATTTTTTAATAATAAAGATATCGAAATTCTGATTGGACACAAATTCGTTTCAAAGGATTTAGAATTATTTGAAGGGTTCATATTTTTTAATTTTTTGCATATTTGCATATTTTGCATATGCACGAGATATGCAAAAAATATGCAAAATATGCAAAAAATATGCAAAATATGCAAAAAATATGCAAAATATGCAAAAAATATGCAAAATATGCAAAAAATATGCAAAATATGCAAAATATATGCAAAATATGCAAAAAATATGCAAAATATGCTAGGTCGATATGGAATAAATATGCAAAATATATGCATAAAATATGCAAAAATATGCAAAATATATGCTAAAATATGCAAAAATATGCAAAAAATATGCACGGTATGCTAGGTCGATATGCGATAAATATGCAAAATATATGCAAGAATATGCAAAAAATATGCACGGTATGCTAGGTCGATATGCAATAAATATGCAAAAATATGCAAAATATATGCAAAATGTATGCAAAATATATACAAAATATGCAAACATATGCAAAATATGCAAAAATATGCAAAATATGCAAAATATATGCAAAATATGCAAAATATGCAAAATATATGCAAAATATGCAAAAATATGCAAAATATGCAAAAATATGCAAACATATGCAAAATATATGCAAACAAATGCAAAATATGCAAAATATATGCACAATATGCAAACATATGCAAAATGTGCAAAAATATGCAAAAATATGCAAAATATGCAAAATATGCAAAAATATGCAAAATATGCAAAAAATGCAAAATATGCAAAAATATAAAAACATATGCAAAATATGCATTGTCAATATGCAAAAATATGCAAAATATGCAAAAATATGCCAAATATATGCACAATATGCAAACATATGCAAAATGTGCAAAAAATGCAAAATATAAAAACATATGCAAAGTATACGCAAAATATATGCAAAATATGCAAAAATATGCAAAATATGCAAAAATATGCAAAATATATGCAAAATATGCAAACATATGCAAAATATGCAAAATATATGCACAATATGCAAACATATGCAAAATATGCAAACATATGCAAAATATGCAAAAATATGCAAAAATATGCAAAATATGCAAACATATGCAAACATATGCAAAAATATGCAAAATATATGGAAAAATATGGAAACATATGCAAAATATGCAAAATATATGCAAAATATGCAAACATATGCAAAATATGCAAAAATATGCAAAATATATGCAAAATATGCAAAAATATGCAAAATATGCAAAAATATGCAAACATATGCAAAATATATGCAAACAAATGCAAAATATGCAAAAATATGCAAAATATATGCACAATATGCAAAAATATGCAAAATATGCAAAAATATGCAAAATATATGCAAAATATACAAAAAAATATGCACGGTATGCTAGGTCGATATGCGAGAAATATGCAAAAAATATGAAAAATATAGGCAAAAATATGCAAAATATGAACAACATATTTCACATATGCAAATCATTTTAATCAAAAAAAAAATTCATGGTAGTTTTCGAATTTGTGTGCTTTTTTATTTTTAACCTATAGAAATCTAATTGTGTATGTATGCGTTTCATGGTTCAACTGTTAGATTTTTGGGGCATTATGAAAAATTGGCTAAATATATGTATAAAACATGCAATCATATATAACCGTTATATGGCGATATACTAAAACGTGGACCGATATATCCCATTTCCAATACCAAACATCCTAGGAGTAATAATAATATATGTGCAAAATTTCAAAGTTATATCTTTAATATTGCGACCTAGCATACCGTGCATATTTTGCATATGTTTGCATATGTTTGCATATTTTGCATATTTTGCATATGTTTGCATATGTTTGCATATTTTGCATATATTTTGCATTTTTTTGCATATTTTGCATATTTTGCATATGTTTGCATATTTTGCATATATTTTGCATATTTTTGCATATTTTTGCATATTTTTGCATATTTTGCATATTTTGCATATGTTTCCATATTTTTCCATATATTTTGCATATTTTTGCATATTTTGCATATGTTTCCATATTTTTCCATATATTTTGCATATTTTTGCATATTTTGCATATGTTTGCATATTTTGCATATGTTTGCATATTTTGCATATATTTTGCATATTTTGCATATGTTTCCATATTTTTCCATATATTTTGCATATTTTTGCATATTTTGCATATGTTTCCATATTTTTCCATATATTTTGCATATTTTTGCATATTTTGCATATGTTTCCATATTTTTCCATATATTTTGCATATTTTTGCATATTTTGCATATGTTTGCATATTTTGCATATATTTTGCATATATTTTGCATATTTTTGCATATTTTGCATATGTTTGCATATTTTGCATATATTTTGCATATTTTTGCATATTTTTGCATATTTTGCATATTTTGCATATGTTTCCATATTTTTCCATATATTTTGCATATTTTTGCATATTTTGCATATGTTTGCATATTTTGCATATATTTTGCATATTTTGCATATGTTTGCATATGTTTGCATATGTTTGCATATTTTTGCATATGTTTGCATATTTTGCATATATTTTGCATATTTTTGCATATTTTTGCATATTTTGCATATTTTGCATATGTTTCCATATTTTTCCATATATTTTGCATATTTTTGCATATTTTGCATATGTTTGCATATTTTGCATATATTTTGCATATTTTGCATATGTTTGCATATGTTTGCATATTTTTGCATATGTTTGCATATTTTGCATATGTTTGCATATTTTGCATATATTTTGCATATTTTGCATATGTTTCCATATTTTTCCATATATTTTGCATATTTTTGCATATTTTGCATATGTTTGCATATTTTGCATATATTTTGCATATTTTTGCATATTTTGCATATTTTGCATATGTTTCCATATTTTTCCATATATTTTGCATATTTTGCATATGTTTCCATATTTTTCCATATATTTTGCATATTTTTGCATATTTTGCATATGTTTCCATATTTTTCCATATATTTTGCATATTTTTGCATATTTTGCATATGTTTCCATATTTTTCCATATATTTTGCATATTTTTGCATATTTTGCATATGTTTGCATATTTTGCATATATTTTGCATATATTTTGCATATTTTTGCATATTTTGCATATGTTTGCATATTTTGCATATATTTTGCATATTTTTGCATATTTTTGCATATTTTGCATATTTTGCATATGTTTCCATATTTTTCCATATATTTTGCATATTTTTGCATATTTTGCATATGTTTGCATATTTTGCATATATTTTGCATATTTTGCATATGTTTGCATATGTTTGCATATGTTTGCATATTTTGCATATTTTTGCATATTTTTGCATATTTTGCATATGTTTGCATATTTTGCATATATTTTGCATATTTTTGCATATTTTGCATATTTTTGCATATTTTGCATATGTTTGTATATTTTGCATATGTTTGCATATTTTGCATATATTTTGCATATTTTGCATATGTTTGCATATTTTGCATATTTTTGCATATTTTTGCATATTTTTGCATATTTTGCATATGTTTGCATATTTTGCATATATTTTGCATATTTTTGCATATTTTTGCATATATTGCATTTCGACAATGCATATTTTGTATATTTTTTGCATATATTTATCGCATATCGACCTAGCATACCGTGCATATTTTTGCATATTTTGCATATTTTTTGCATATTTTGCATATTTTTTGCATATTTTGCATATTTTTTGCATATTTTGCATATTTTTTGCATATTTTGCATATTTTTTGCATATTTTGCATATTTTTTGCATATTTTTTGCATATATTTTGCATATTTTTTGCATATATTTTGCATATTTTTTGCATATTTTTGACATGACCCCAAATATCGATCAATTAAGGCATGAAACGCCTAAATACAAAATTTGAGTCCAATCGGATAAAGCATAAAAAATATGCAAAAATCCGAGGTCTAATAATAATGAATTAAATAAATATACGAGGTTTTTTATTTGATCATGAATTTTTAAAAACATTTTTTTATATTCAAATATCTGAAGAGCTTTTCAACAAACGTACCTCGTTCCCGTTTCCAAAAAATATTCAATGCCATTTGAATGGGTCGATGCATGACCAATCGCCCATATTGCCGATTTCAATTCCAAACATTCCGCTTCATCGGAACACTTTCCGCTGCTAATAATCTCTAAAAGCTGTGGCAGATCACCGAATTTTCTTAAGGCTGTTGTTCCCTGTGTTGTTTGAACCATTTGCCCATATAAATGGGCTGGTATATTTGGTGGTATAATAATGGGTCGGGTATTACAATTACGACGACTATAACCGCCTTCTTCATTGCGCACATGCAATGTTAGGCTGGCATGTGTATCAGCCTCGACCAATAAAACGTATCTGTGGGAAGAAAAAGAGAAAAATCGGGAAATTATTAATTTTATTCCAAGGGGTACCAGATAAAGTCAAACAAAAAGACAAGAACAAAAGGTAGGTAGGTTTTTTTGTTGCTGTTCACTTTTTGTTGGACTTTTTCTATTTGGGATTTCACGCTCGCCTCTTATTGTAGCCATTTTTCCAATACTCAATTTCTTCTTTGACTTTTGCTTTGGGTTGGTTAAGACCACGCGACAGAGAATAGTAGCGGGCCATTAGTAGACGTCCCACATCGCCCAGGGTTTTAAGATTTGGCCATAGACTAACAATTTCTTCCAAATAATACTAAAATTCAAAAATAACGTTATTTTTAATTTTATAAGAGGCAAAATATTGTACAACTCTGTTACCTTTTCATGACAAGCCTCTTCCAGGACATCCATTGCCGCTAAAACGACACTACGATCTGGATCTTTTGTTTGTTGTATAATTAAAGGTATACCCCATACCTCAAAGTTTGGTATGCGAGCTCTCAATAATACCACCAGAAATTGTGTGGCATACAGACGACTACCCGTATCCTTGGCGGCCGTTAAAGCTTTTTCCAAAACTTTACGGGGAACAGATTCTAGACTATAATCCAAACCCGATACAATTAATTTTACATAACATTCGTAATCGGTGTTGCGTACGAGATTGACAAGGCTAAAATGAAGATGCGGGAAAAACATTAACAAAAATTCCAAGCATATTAGGGGAAAGTGTCTACATACTGTTCAAACACCGCCGTATTCGTTAATATCGTAATGCCCTTTTGTGCCCGACACATCCGACCAATAAATAAAAAATACTGTTGACACATTGTAGTCTCCATATGCTTTGGACTAAATAGACAATCGTGTGCACGATTTGGTGTCGTTATGGCCAATAGCTGGGAGGCCACATCGGTAAAGAAATCAGTTAGTAGGCGAACACTTTCCAGTGGATAGATGGCCAAAAGCCAATCGATTAAATCTAAACCGACTTGAACAAATGGCGGCAATGTTTTACCCTGCACCAGTTCTTGATGGGAAAAACAATTTTTACTTGGCTTAAAGAAATCAATGAGATTTTTCAGGAACGTTAAACTTGGCTCTTCCATTTTACGGATTAGATTTGACTGGAAAGAAAATGTAAATAAATATATATATTTAATAATTAATTCAGTCGAACGCTTAAGATTACATATTAGAAATATTAATATACCCGAATGCTTATAGGTACTAATATATAATATAAAACTAATATATAATATAATTTAAAAAATAACCATAATATCTGAAAATTGTTTTAAAGGCTTCGGTTCGGATTACAATCTGTATGCCTTGTTGCGCTAACGGGAGATAATATGATTTTCCAACCTGCCTCTTTTATGGCAGTGAAAGGGTATACAATGATATCAGGCACCATCTTGCAACGGTGGCTCCTTTATAGTTCCCTCCAGGATGAAAATAAAAAATCTCCTCAAAGTTTTTTTTATTGAGATCAATCAATTTCGCAAACTCATTTCTCATTTTATAAGGGTTTCCATTGGAGGGAATTATAAAAGAAATGGGACTATAAGTTCAGTATACACATAAAGTTGTGTAGAGTTCGTAGTAAATTGGATTAAACTTTATTTTGTATAAAAATCCTCTGCCTCTAACTCCAGGATCAAAAAGACTGCGACATGTGCCTGTTGTGTTCAAAGTGAAGTGGAGTTAAAGGCCGTGCAGATGAAGAGGTGTAGCGTGTCATGTGGACATTACTACATGCCGGGCAGATATTCTCCACCGTGTAATCGATTCGTGCCCAATAAGAATTGAGGAGGCTACAACATACAGTTATGACCACTCTAGTTCGTTGTTGTTGTTGTAGCAGCCCCATTGCTTTAACACGATGAGCAGAGGTGACAGGCGTTGGAGTCATAAGGAGGCAACCTGTTACAGTCCTCAGTCCTCCTCGTTGTAGTTTCACAACCGAGCCAAACCGGAATTGTTCCTGGACACATTACATCTCATCGACTGTGTCCGGTAGTGATGCTCTAGGATATAATCATTGAGAATGCTTATCATAATGAGAAAAAATACGCTTCCGGGTATTATTATGAATTTCCGTCAAACATACACATTCAATGGTCTTTCTATTGCTTACTGGTTTTCAATTAAAAAACATGTTCGCGTTCTTTCGATGAATGTAAATGACATATATTTATAAAAAAGAAAAATTTCACACTTACTCTTATTATCGTTGATATAACTTCCCAATCCCAGCCGGTGCCATCCTTGGAATTTAATACATTCGAGTCTTTGATTAAACGATTCACTTTCATATTCTCTAGGAACGGTAAAAATTTACATTTCAAGCGAAAACTTGCACGACGTGATGATGACTGAGAATTTGAATCGTCACTGGAGACAGAGTCCAGACGGGGTCTATCCAGCGTACCAACACCACCAATGGAACTATATTGGCCAACACCATTGGTGCTATTTGGATCAGGGGGTGGTGATTGTAGACTGCTGCTGGCGTAGGGGATATCCTGAGCATTGATTTCACGGCGAAAAAGTCTTGTGTGTATGAGGGCTGAAAGAGAATAGAAATTGAATAATTATAATACAGTTGTATTGGAAGGTTTATGGTATGTGTCCTTACTTCCTTCTTGTATAATGCTATCCAAAAATAAACTACTCGACGCTGGACGATTCCTTAACATTTTCTGATAACATTCCAATGCTGATATGGCGGCACATGCATTTATATTACCCTTTGTGGCATGCTTTATTAGTGTCGGCAGTGCCGGACTTGTACTGCAAATGTCCGGCGGCAAATGTGTATGCATTAAATGCAATAGCTTGCCAATTAGAACCGTGGCTGCTACTGATACGGAAACTTCACTCGATATTATAACCTCGACCAAGGCATTGAGAAGACCAGTCTCTAGAAAACAGTACAATTGTAAGGCCAAGTGTTGTTCACAGATATTGGGGGCGCGTGCTGCCAAACTCGGCAATATGCTGCGACCCTCGGCAGCAACGAAGCCATTCTTTAATAGCCAATTGGCTTGGAAATCAGACGGATCAACCGCCTGTAAAGCCACAGCATAATCTTCAGTCGTCCAAGTAGGTTGTGGAAGACCCAAGAGTTCGTAGAGCAATTCCAATATTGCTTTCTAGAAATATAAAAAAATAATCATCAGGAAAACTATAATTTTTAAGGCAATTTTTAAGACTTACTCTAACTTCAATTTGATTTAAATATAAAGCATCAACTATTGCTTTTAAACCGGATGGTTTACTTGGATCACAGAATTCAATGGTCCCAGTCCAGCTGCGCAGAACAGATAATAAAGCTAAACGACAACTTGTGTAACGTAGTTCATGAGCATCTCTGAAAGAAAAAATACAACGACACATTATTAAAGAACCTTTAAATATCCAATGTATAGCCTCTCAACTTACTTATTCTTATCCATAATCCCCAGACGATATGTAAAATCGCAATAGGGTGCCGCCAAACAATCCAAACGCACTCCCGATATATTACGTGTATGCGGCCATTCCAATAGATACAGCAGTACACCACTTAAACTTTCGGCTATTCGAGGATTGTGACATTCCACCACATTGCGGGTGATTGAAGTCACCCCACCGCAACATATCAGCAATGTTGGATTCAATACGGCAAATTCACACAGTGTTGCCAGACAAACCCTCAGTAATTTATCTTTTTCCTCAAGGCCCGTATCGGCCAATGAAACTAGACAGCGAACCAATACCGGACTTATATTTTCCGGTGATATTGCCAGCATTTTGCGTATCTGTAAATAGAAGTAGAAAATAATTTTAGGTTTCTAATTTGGAATATTAATTTAATGGGAATTGTTTACCAATTTCAAGGCCTGAACACGTTCATCATTGTTCTTCAGCATAATGTCAATCGATCGACATAATAAATGCGGCAATTGCATTGAATTGAATATTTTGATATCCTTGGTTGTGGTCAACACATAACGTATCGTACGCAATGCAGCCGCTCTCACTTGTGTAAATGATCGTATTAGGGATGCACTCAAACTGAAAAAGGAAGAAGAAAGAAGTTGCAATTATTATAGAAGGTAGTAGATACATAAGTGGGTTCGGATTTGTTGTGTTGAATATATGTATCATGATATTGATTGAAATATTTCGGGTTCTGGCAATGTTCACTTTACTTTTTTGATGTTCCAGAGCATATCGCTTCGACAGTTAAAATGGGCACAATTCAGCCAGGCAGATATATCTAAATCGACTCCAAATTGTTTGAAACAGCTTAGATCAAAACCGATATTTCGATAGATTTTTAAGACTTCGAAGCTGGATAACCAAATGACATTCTGTATACACCTAAATATCATCCATCCTATATTATTTCCTATTGACAGATATATCTAAATCGACTCCAAATTGTTTGAAACATCTTAGATGAAAACCGATATTTCGATAGATTTTTAAGACTCCGAAGATGGATAACCAAGTGACATTCTGTACACACCTAAATATCATCCATCCTATATTCTTTCCTATTGAACCCTGTGAAACGTTATTAGGTCATGAAATTCTATCGATCTAAATAAAATCAGGTAAGCACAGCAGGCTTATACTAAAGACAGAACATACGGGTCTACATGATATACAGGAAGCTTTTAAATTAGAAATCGTCATCAAAACACCGTCACTTCACAGGTTATGGTGCTATTATGTTTATATTCGTCTATGGAAAGTATAGCTGAATGCGGTAGACCCAATATATATTTTTTTGGGTTGCTGCGAATCAAATAAACAATATCCGTAAGTCGGTGTATCTATACTAACCAGTAATCATGGTTTCAGAGTCTTTCAACCTGAAATATGAGCAGCTAATGCTATGGCCTAGTGCCTATCAAAGTTTTATGGTTTGCAGTCAAGTCAGAGTGCCGACTGTATTCACAAGGTACCTGATTGTTATTTACATCAAGTCCTTACCATGAAAGAAGACTATGCCATGGTCAACAACATATCCCCTACTCCCTCAAAAACGCAATGAAACCAAAAACTACTTCTTAGAATGATGATGTCGTGGTCGCCTTGTCATCATCCGTCTCAAGCTTCACAGCAGCAAATAGTCCAACACATAGTTCGACACTGATACTACCCTTATCAAAGTCTCGTCCTTTAGTCAACAGAGTCCGCCAACTATGATACAGAAAAATACCGAGTTTTATAAGATAGAAACTGATTTTCAAGAGTCGGCAGCCAATAAGGCAGTTCCCTTGAGGCAAGTAACCACGGAGGACAAAGGTCAAAGACATAGAAACCGTAAAGACTCGACAAAATGCATTTTGACAAAACTGCCTTACATGCGTCTGCAGCCAATAAGGCAGTTCCCGGAGGACAAATGTCAATGGTTGGTGCTTAAAAGAGAACCCGCTCTCGTCTCATCATTGGTTGCTACTAAACCGGACTCAAATTCCTGAACTCTTGCCAATTGGCCTTCCCATGATTAAGGAAAGTACAGCGTTCAGAAGTTATGAAATCGATGGTCTGTTGATGGATATGATAATAGGGAGGTGATCTGACCCCAATGATATGACGGGTTGCCATGCCACGTCAATCGTCAGACCTGGAGACACGATGGAAATGTCCGGTGAGCTTTGGCAGTCTCCCCTTATCCTGGTGGGTATGTCCCCGTTCACCGTGCAAAACGTTGAACTCAAGCGAGATAGGTCTGTACTGGACAGAGTTTGTAAGATCCTTTCTAATTACGTTGTATCCATCACAACTCGCCGCGACCATAATACTTCTTCGATTCATAAAATCCACTATATCGTTGATTTTCCCTCGAAGTTCATTGCAGTTGAATTGGATAAAATATATGTTATTAGGAGTTGCCACAACAATGTGCGGTGTTACCGGCTGCGGAGATTGCGGGAGAGTCACGGACGGCGATGATGATGACGTGGACCGCGTTGATGACTACGACTCGCTGAGGACTGCATTGGCGCAGCATGAAGCAGCATAGTCCCTTTCGCCATACTCCTGTATCCGACTAAGGCCGGAACAACTCCCGAAATGAACACATTCTCCCCATCCGTTGCATCTCACCGAGAGAGATCTGTGGTGATGATGTTGTGAAAAACCGGCGTTTGTCTCAATCCCGACACGGACCAAAAGAACCCAGAGCAAACATTCCAAGTAATGAATCTCTCAAGTTGAACATGTACTTGTTAACCTGTGAGTGTCTCGTCTGGTGGCAAGAGAACTCCTCCTGTCCAAAATAAAGCAGTGTACAAAGCTTTGTATCGATGATTGATATAAATGCGATTATAACTCTCCTACCCTTTGATTCTTTAATTCAGATTCGGGCTACCATAACTGCAATGAGACCCAAGGAAAAATGACCACGAGGATTTTGAAATAATAATACCTAACGGATAATCAAGGACGGGTGGACTATCTCTTCTGGACGGTTTCTCAATATAAATAGACGGCTCTAAGATGGATGAGGGAACAGGTTCAGGATGAACTTTCAATTTCTTCTAAATTAATCAGCGATATCCTCGATATTAACGATATGGTTAACTCATAATTGGAAAGAAAGCTCAAACGATATCGAATCTCATAAATCAACGAGCTAACTACCCACTCAACCTACTCTCCTCTGCACCTTAACAAAATTAATATAAATTAGCCTTAAAAAAACAAAAATAACAAACAAAACAAAAAGTGCAGGCAGACAACTGTTATGCCAGTCTGGAATTTAATAATTTGTTTTCATAATGTAAGTTTGTTGTTGCTGTTGTTGTTAATGTTTTTTTTTACATTTTTTATTGTTATTGCTATTTTTTGTTGTTGTTTGTTTGTTGGCTTTGTGAAATGATTCAGTTGGTGTTTATTTTAAATTAATATCCATACCAACAACTTTGGCGATGTTGTTGCACTTACCAGTAGAGTAACTCTTCCGTGCTAAATCCCAAATTATTTTTGTATATTGATGCCGCCGACGACGAGGTCGCCAATGACGTTGATGTTGTAGCCAAAGAAGGAAACGTGGTAGGACCGCCACCGACTCCAATGCCCCCGCCGCCGCCGGCTGCTGTTGCTGCTCCGCCTGATGTTGTGTTCGTTGATGATGACGATGGTGACGTTGTTGTTGTTGTGTGCTGTTGGTGATGATGGTGCGATGGATGGTGGTGCTGCTGTTGTTGTGTTTTTTGTTGCTTCTGCAGCAGCTGCTGTTGTTGCTGGCATAATGTGGCCAATTCATTGAGCAGATCGAGACGTTTGCTATCGCGTGTCTCACGACAACACAATGCCGCATAGATATCATAGCAATTCTCGGCAGCAGATTTTGTTGGATCCAAGCGATAATATTTTTCCGTGTCTTGTGGAACTATAAAATAAGAGAGGAAGGTGGAATAATAAAACAAAAGAAAAAAAATTAGTCAAACAAATTATAAAGTTTTTAGAAGAAAATTAAATTATGAAAACAGGGTCTAAAGCTCAAACATGACGATATATTCGGAATAATAAAAAATTGGATTTTTGAAGAAAATGTTTGATTTTTTCCAAACTACTTCTTCAAGGACCAAATGAAGTGAATTTTTTAGGAATATATAATATATTAAAAACCCATTTTTGAAAGAATATTCTTACAAGGCGTGGATTTTTTAAAAAATATTTTTTCCAAAGCCACGAACACCAGCACAAGGCGTGGATTTTTTAAAAAATATTTTTCCAAAGCCATGAAGACCAGCACAAGGCGTTGATTTTTTAAAAAATATTTTTTCCAAAGCCACGAAGACCAGCACAAGGCTTGGATTCTTTAAAGAAAACTTTTTTCAAGGACCAACACAAGGCGTGGATACTGCAGCATATTTTTAGGAGGAAATATCAGATTCATAATCGTGAATTTATGAATCTTACTTTTAGAAAGAAATGTCAGGGTCTATTCATAAATTTATGCGGCATAATTTAAGGAGTAAATACCAGAGAAATATTCAGAAATTTATGAAGCATAATTTTAGGAGGAAATTCTAGAGTAATATTGAGAAATATATGAAGCATAATTTTAGGAGAAAATGCCCGATTTCGTGAATTTATGAAGCATACTTTCTGGAGTACTTAGTGTAAATATCCGACCAAAGACATATTTTACGAGCGCCTAGAAACTGCATATGACCGCTGCCCTGGCCATGACATTGAAATTCTGCTAGGAAAAGCCTCCATGAAGAAACATCCGACAACGGCATGAGGTTGATTGGTTTCGCGGCAGCAAAAAACATGGTAGTTAGCAGCACCATATTCAAACATCTCGATGTACACAAGGCCACCTGAATTTCTCCTGATCAGACAACGAGAAATCAAATTGACCATGTTGTGATAGACGGAAGGCATTTGTCCAATGTTTTAGACGTTCGATAGATACGGGAAGCGAATATCGATTCGGACCATTATCTTGTGGCAGCCAAGGTTCGCACCCGTCTTAATGTAGCAGCAATGGTGCGATCTAATGTAACCCGATGGAGAATTATCGGGAGAAAAGGAGAGAGGAGAAACGTATTTTCAGAAAAAAAGAAGAAAGAACAAGAAAAACGTGAGCGTGAGCAAATCGAGATGTACAGGAGTCAGAATGAAGTCCGAATATTTTACCAATGAGTAAAACATCAAACCGAAAGCTTTGGTGCAGGCACATCCTCTTGTCGAAATGAAAAGGGAAACCTGGTAACAGATACAGACAGCGTGCTGAGGATCTGGAATGAGCATTTTGAAAAACTTCTGGTATCAAATAGAAGGATAGAGGATACCTCAGAACCAATAACAGATGACGGTATAGAGAGTATACCACCTAGCCTAGATGAGATGAGGTCAGAATAGCAATCAATCGGCTGAAGAATAGTAAAGCAGCAGGTACCGATGGCTTACAAGCCGAACTATTCAATACTGGTGGTCAGATGCTGGTAAGGAGCATGCACCAGCTGATTCGTACAATTTGGCTAGAAGAATGCATGCCCAATGATTGGAACCTCAGCATCCTGTGTCCCGTGCAAAAAAAAAACGAAACAAGACGATATGTGCCAACTATAGGGGAATAAGCCTACTTCCCATCGTATATAAAGTGTTATCCAGCGTGCTCTGTGAACGATTGAAGCCAAAGGTTAATGCCATTATTGGACCATACCAATGCGGCTTCAGTCCTGGCAAATCCTGGAAAAGGCCCACGAAAAACACATCTACACATTTCATCTATTCGTCGCCTATAAAGCCGCATTCAACAGCCCTATCCGTTCAAAGGAGTTTAAAGCAATGTCTGCATTTGGCATTCCTGCAAAATGAATTCGGCTATGCAGGATAACTTTAACTGGCACAAAATCAGCAGTTAAAGTCGGAAAGGACCTCTCGGAGCCCTGTAATACCGGCCGAGGATTCAGACAAGATGACAGTTGTCGTGTGACCTTTTTAACATCCTGCTGGAAAAGGTCATACGAGAGGTGAACTGAAATGGCACTCTGTCCACCAAACATCACATGTTACTGTACTACGCCGATGACATCGATATAATGGGTCGAACAGTGAGAGTGGTAACAGACACATTTGAACAAATTGAGAAGGAGTCTGCCAAAGTATACGGCGAGAAGGCCAAGCTGATGGTATAAACTCGCAAGACGTCCAGTAGACTTGGACCAACTGTGGAACTTGAGAACTACAGCTTTGAAGTAATCAAAGATTTTATATACCTTGGTACCGCCATAAATAAAACGAATGACCTCAGTTTTGAAATTCGGAGAAGGATAGTGTTGGCCAACAGATTCTACTATGGTCTGAGTAAGCAGTTAAGAAACAAGGCCACCTCCGCCAGACCAAACTCACACTTTACAAGACGCTGATACTACCCGTGCTGTTATATGTATCTGACGCATGAGTACTTGCGCAAGCAGATGAAGCAGCTCTTGGGGAGTTAGAAAGAAAAAATTCTCCCAAAGATTTACGGACGTCGACGGTAAATATCGACGTCCAATGAACCACGAGCATTACAATCTACACTCGGACATCGACATAGTCAGTCGTATTGAGCTGAGTGAGAATGCCCCAGCTCAAAAGGCATATAAAAGCGAGCCTACTGATGGTTCACGCAGAAGAGGAAGGCCACGAATTAGATGGAAAGACCAAGTAGAAGACAACATCTCGGAACATGGTCTTTCAAATTGGAGGAGATGCGCACAATACCGACGCACTTGGAAATCTTTTTTTAAACTCGGCTTATGGAACAACTGTTCTGTAATAAGCCAGCTAAGTAAGTAATATTTGGTGGATTTTAATGAATATTTTTAGGAGAAAAAGCGTGGATTTTAGAAAATATTTTAGGGAGGGTGGATTTTTCATGAACATTTTTTGGACATAATTATGGAATATTTTTATGAGAAAAAGCGTGGGGAACATTTCAGAATCATAAGCGTGTATTTGGTAAATTTCGTGTTATATTTTCAGAAGAAAATATTAGAATATATGAGACATAGAAGCGAATTTTGGAGCATAGTTTTAGGGTGAATTTCTGTATAGTATCCCCTTTTATTTTGTGTTCTATGTTTCCCCGGCTGAAGTTTTTTCCCCTGCATATAATTGTTTTATATAGCTGAGAAAATGTTGTATATATTTTCCATTTATTAATTTACAACAGTACTGACAGTTGTCACGAAACTTGACCAAATTATTTCCATAATGTTTGCCAGCAACGAACACAAATGCCGCCAACCCTTTGCATTTCTGTCGAATGGGGAAAAGTTGCAACAATGTAAGCCGCATGGAAGTACAACAACAATAAATAAATTTCTTTAGATTAAGAATAGAACAATACCAAAGAAAAGGAAACACAAAGCTGTTGAAAAGCATTATAGAGTAATTAATCAATTAAAAACCATTAAGATAGAGAGGGGATGGATAAGCGCCACAAATTGCACTTAATTGAATTTTAACAAAATCATTAACAACAACGACCATGATGAGGACGGTGAGGACGAAGACGATAAACGGTGGACGCAGAAATGCGATGATGGTCAGCTCAAAGGCAGTAGTCAGAAACTCATGGCCGTCCAATTTGGTGGCGGTAAACTCTTGAAACTCTTTAACATGAATGTGGCTAATGGAGGTGACTGGCAGGCAGGCAGGGTGGCTGACTGACTGTCTGGTTAGCTGCCTGGCTGGTGGTGATAGGTGTGTGTTGGTGCTGCTGCTGCTCCTGATGAATGACTGACTGACTACATTTCCACACTAAAACACCAAATGATGGATGGATGAGTGACTAGATGAGTGGATAACTAGCCAAGTGTAGTCAGTCATCAAACACGAAAGGAAAGAATGGATGGGCCAAGAAGAGTGGTTCGTTCGTCGGTCATGCATGCTAAAAACCAAAGAGGAGAGGGCACTTTGTCTCGAGGGAATTTCATTTTAGAAAAAGTCAAATCCCCTCCCCCGAAATATGGTATTCAAATACAAGTTGTTTCATGGCATGGCATGGATGAAACAATTGGACTTTAGAGGGAAAAATCCAAACAATTGTTTAGATGATTTTTCCTCAGAAAGAAACTCTAGTGGAAAAATAAAACAAATTAACAGTTAGAGTGCATGACACTTGAATAAAAGGGAATCGTTTTTTTAGGTTGTTCCCTTACCATGATAATAGCGGACCAGCAGGGCTGAAAAACAAAACTACAACAACCACTTATGTACACCTCATAAAAAAATGTTGGCAACAAATTATGCTCCTCCATACAAATAGCCAACACGATAATATGATTACAATAAAATAAAGAAGAAAACAGATTTAAATCTCTCATAATGCCACAGGCGGCAGGCAATTGCATGCAACATATCACACCGCCACACAAACTGCTGTTTTCCACTATTACAACAAATAAGCAATTTTAATGTCAAGTTGTTTCGGGTGTGGTATTTCCGTACCGTTCAGTTTTAATAGTCATTCAACAATTTAAGGGACAACATGAATTAATGGAGGGACAGATAATTTTCCCCAAAGAAAAAAAATCTGGGTCTGAAATGCCTCAGCCCTAGGGTCTGCCAATTTTTGTATAGAGAAAAACCTCAATTCTGTTTTCGGGGGGATTTTTTTTTTCTACAGAAAATGGCCTCAGTCAAAACTGAAACTTTCTGCAGACCCCCATTTTTGTGGAATTTTATAGAAATAATCCTCAGTCTGTAGAAAAAAGGGTCTGATCTGCTGATTTTTCTATAAAAAGCCTCTGTCCTGGGAGAGGATTTTTTATATAGATAAAAGATTCAATGTTGGTTTCTGCGGATTTTTTTTTTTCTACAGAAAATTATCTCAGTACTGCTTTCTGCGGTTTTTTTTCTATATAAAGAACCTCAGTCCGAATT